ATCTGCAGCCAAAGTACTCTATTTCGGACACGGATTTAAAGTATAGTTCATTCACTTTACATTGAAGCATATAGTTTACTATCACATACCGTTGATTATTACAGCCCCCGTACCCACAGATTCTGTATCTTGATTGGCAGAGAGTCAGTCACATGGAGTTCGCTAATTTTGCTAACTTGTTTTCACTGCTGAAGGAAATTTAACTATTCCAGTATTTTCCAAACTACATTTACACCACATTGTCTGTGATGCCTTTTGATATGCGCGCACCTTACAGCTCGGTTCTAACATTTCGTGAAGAGATAGTTCGAAAAGTGCTTTTAAGTTTTCAATTACTTTCTTATTCGGACAAACAGACTTTTTATGCGTACTGAGATCAAATTAATCAGTTAGCGCTGAAGAATCTGTGGGGAGGTGTTGTAACACAAATATTTACTGGATGAGTAAAATGATTGCGGTGACACCATGTAGCAATCTCTTTCTTGAGTATGTGTGGTTCTGAGAAGAACCGGGGAATAACTCGACGTTTAGATCAGGGTACGGTACGTCTTCAGGAGACTGCATGATTCTGACTGGGAGTGGAGCTTATATGGTGTAGAGAGGGATCCAGATGTAAGGATTAGTTCGGTGAAGCGTTGAGGCGGGAGCGGTGAAGGCGGGAACAATGGATGCTGCATTGGATCCTGGTGCTGCATGGCCTGAGCTGATCTCTCTACCGCTGTTAGACCACTGCCCTTGTTAGTACGCCCCCTCTCGCCCGCGAAAACCTGCAGGGCATATACGATACGTTGGCTATGCCGCATACACATGGCGCCAGAAAACTGACCAAAATCTCGACCCAGATCTGCCCTATTTGGGCGCGAGTGCTAGAAGAAACTATCACAGTCAGGTGTCGTAGCCGACTGGTGAGCTTACAGTTGTATTTGTTATATTTTGTGTTCTAAATAGAGTAGCGTTTTTGTAGTTATACTCGTTGAAATTTTTAACCTTGCCACATGGAATCTGCCACGTTACACACAACTGTGGGCGCCATATTTAGACCACGCAGCTTATGCAATCCATTTTGATGTCAGTACAGTGTCTATTTGGCTCATTTATAAATACATGTACATGTATCACATCTCTGCTTGGAGAAACTCATAGTATTGAGAAATTTAAGCCATAATTCTCACCATTTATGATTTATAGAGAGTTCTCACTTAGAAGTAAGAATTGCAGAATATGAACAATGTGTCATATTTTCAGTTTGGCTCGTAATTCACAGCTTCGATTGTAACAAGAGTGAAGCATTAATATTTTGGAGTCCATAACTACACTTGGAAAATTTTCTACTTACAGTGTACAATGCATGTACGAGACAACCCAATCTTTGTTTCAAGTGATAAGTTCGTTCCCTTTTTAAACATTTAAGTTACCTTGGTAATTTTGTGCTTGCATTAATTAACCTTTAACTATTTGGATACAGTTGCAGACAGCAAAGTCAGCAAAGGGCCCGAATGTCAGAGTTTTAGGCATAGAGCAGTCACATCACGTGAGCACCCTTATAAATGTTCTTCCCTAATTAATAGTGGTATTTCTCGACAAATTTCCAAATCTGTTGTTGAACGTGTCGTACTTTAATTGTTGGTAAACTTAATTATGGCTGTATAATTGTTTTAGTTTAGATTTCCCGAAACCGTGACAACGCACATAAAACTTTTGCTGATTTGAACCAGTTTGTATTTTTCCTTTATTTATTTATCTATTTATTTTTTTTTAGTCACCAGAGGATAAATAGGTAGTCACCCAGACATAATTGGGACAAATAAACGTTGATAGTCCAATTGATGGTCACGTGTTGCCTGTTTCTGCGTCTGTGTGAAGTTCCTTAAAGCGCCCCCTATAACTGGCCGTAGGAGCAGTTAACAGCTGCGGTGGCATTTTAGGGATCGTGTTCATCCATCGGCAGCTCCGTTGTTTCAGTTTTCTCATTCTGTAGAAGTAACACGGGAACAGAAATCGTTGTTTTCCATGTACCTTAATACAATATTTCAGCGGCACTTTGGGGATTCTTTGACGAAATAAGGAAACTTTCTCCGGACGATTTTTTAAACAAAAGTATCTGCAATTATTCATACGTCATATCTCTTCTCTGTATATCTGAAGTCCCTTACATTCCAAACACTGAGTCAACTACCAAAGCACCTTGTAAAGATATTAATAAGATGTTAAATCACTAAAATGGATGATTGCGTTTTTATTTCAACAGCCGCAATGGGGCTGACGCTGGCACGGCGCAATGTGCTTGGCAAACGGTAGATGAAGTGAAATCGCATGTGTCTGCATAGCCTGCTCACATAATGAAAGAACGTATAAACATTTGCATGCACCACCAAGTGGACATGTTCTGTAATTTTCTACCATGTAAGAGCCCATTTATGCAACGAACGGTAAAGGATATTCAGAGCTGTGAAGGGCATCCAGCAGTGGTTTAATGGGAGTGATAGGGTGATGAACCACTCTATTTCGAGACCTAAGTGATTTTTCAAGGATGGAACCGGTTCACACACCTCCTAGTCGGAGTTTTACAGGAACTCACGGAAAAGATGATTATTGAACATCCGCAAATACTAGCGAGGCAATTAATAGGAAGTTTTTTAATTTAACATTAATTTTCAATAGCACAGAAATGAATGCTTCTTTTTAAATCGAATGTTATCCAAATATAAATTTCGAAGAGCATACATGCATGGCACCATAATGCATGTTGCTTGTAACTGACAAGCGATAACCGGTTTATGTTTCCGGCGTTCGATCGACCGACCCACGAACAACAAATCGAGCTGGTCGCAACGGAATGTGATTGTAAAGCACTTGAAGATCGTTGGAACGATCATGGAAAACACTATAAGGTTTTAGGATAATTCCTACACTTTATGTGTTATTGGGTGACAAACTGATGTCGTTGTGGTGGTTTGGGTGACTCATAACTGTTGCCCTGAGGAACATGTCGCCTCAGTAGATCTTCTTTCAAAATAAGTAAGCTACCCACCTCAAGCGGAAGCAACCCCTCAACTATTGAAAGGAGCCATACTTGGTCAGGAGTGTTCATTTTGTTGGCAGAGATGCGACTGTGACGCGTGCATGTCCTATCTTTTACTGTTGGTAAACCAGCGAATTTCAGTGTCGACCGATGAAGAAAATTGCTCCCTCTCTTGGTCATGCTCGAGGCTCATAATAAGGCAACACGAATGACGTGAGATTTATAGCATTACAGAAATATAACTGTGTCTAGTCTTACCATGGTCCCATAGCTCCTAGTCCATCATCAAGGTGCACTTAACAATTCTGCCAATGAAGAGGACACCAAAGAAGATCGCATTGATGATTCACATGAGGCAGGACACCAGCCCCCTGATGACGTTCAGAAAAAAGGGGATATGCCCCGTCAAATGAAACAGCTGTCTAGTGGAAGCAAGTGAAAAGAGCGGGGAAAAGTACAAGTTATTGGCAGGATTTAGTATTGACAAAAAAGAGACAAGAAACTGAGATTCTCCTTTTCTTACAATTTTAATGCCACGCAAAGTATTTCGACGATTTACTTGGTACGGCAAAGGTAAGTAAAAGGATTCGCGATTTACCACAACAAATGTAGCATCATTCTCCAGTTATACTATTAACGCTGTAAACCATCTTCTTGATACCAAAGAATTTGAAATATCTTATTTAAGAAATAGGTGAAAAAGATTCCTTGGTATCAAGAACACAGCAGGTTGCCAGCAAAATGAACTCTATGCATTCACATCAAAATGCATTATTTTTTAGGTCCGTCCATTTTGATTGCTTACAAGGTAAATGGATCTACCAAAGGAGTGTTTCAGCTCACAGAAATTCCCCCCCCCCGAGCAAAACGAAATAATGCAAATACAATACAGAGTCCTACAGCAATATCCTTAGCGGCAGGTTATACGCGAATTTTTGACGTCACATTGAATACTGCTGTTGCAAATTTGCACAAGTAGAAAAGCCAGTTCATACTTGGCACAAAAGCAAACACTGTCTAAACCATCTCAACTCAAGCGTCTTTCGCCGCAAAATTAATGTTGTGAGACCGTGAATTCGCTTCGCTTTCTAGTTCATGCCTGAGGCATGCATGAGCCGGCCGTAACACAAGTTAATTTCGTCTCGTGACGTAAACATTCACTTCGATTTCACACTTGCTTTTTTAGTAAAACAAGGTAAACGGAGTCTCATAGACACCACTCTCCTGCCAACCTGTTGTACAGGCTCAAGTGCACCTCTCACGCGTCTCCTTTTCTTTGTGTACAAAGATTATGTGAGCAAGGGCGACCTGGACACGGTAGAAAAGGAACCCCATGACGAAGGTGAGCCGGGTGGAGGAAAAGATACACAAGGGTGAATACAATCCAAAGGCAGTGAATTTCTACTAGCAGGAGAAATCTACGGAATTTCATTCACATGTCCATTCAAAAGTTTCAGTGCTTGTATACGGTTCTCCTTTTAGTGCAGTGTCATCACAGCAATCACAATTTTCGGCTCAAACTAATTTTGATTGGGTATGAAGCCAGTCTATACCCAGTTATACACTCAAATAGACTAACTGCAATATAGCTGGATACACAGTTTGGATATCTTAAGAATTCTGACTATGCTCCATCAATCCTTGTCATTCTGTACACTGGCATAAGTTCAACATCTCGTCATTTCGAATGCAACAGACCCATAGCACCGAACTCAACCTGTGGATTGACACATCCAACTAAACTCAAAATTGTTTCATTTACTCAGTAGGGTACATTTGTGCACGGATCTCTAGGAGCAAACCGTGATTTCCCTACAACTGTGAGACAGCCCTGCGCAATAGCTGACTGAGCCCCCTCTGACAATAGTGCCTACAGGTCACGCATACACAATCTCGGACCAGATGATGTTTACCACGTGGTTGGTCAATTATTCACATCTGTGTGACCATAGAAATAGTAACACGCCTATTTGTTTGAAGGTAATGTATTGATCTGCTTTCATTTATGCTGCGAAGGTCATACGTGACGTTTTGCCACTGATCAATTGCATTTAACAGGTATCTCTGTTTAGCCATGAAAACAAAGCTATAATAACCAGGAATGAATGCAATCTTTGAGATGAGATAATATTTGGTTTGTAACCTCTCCACCTTTTACAACATGGCCATGGGTCACCTAGCGTAAGTAAACATTATCATTAATCGTAATGAACTATGAACTGTGACGCTCGAAAGAGCAAAAGTACGTGGATAGGCACCAGATCTGATTATTAATATTTCTTAGGATTCCATGATAACAATAATGGTGTAATACAGAGTATATAACTCAACCAAAATGTAGTAATTCCAAAGATGTATTATCATTGTATTTCAAACAGAACGAAAACAATAAAAGCACTTTAAAAAGGATGTGATGTTTTAGTTCGGATTTTGTGTAAATTTATTTAAGACAAACAATGACAGGATGTCGTCTTGACAAATCTTTCCTTTCTTCTTTCAGGAAATTGCGCATATCATTTGTGCTGTGTATACTTATATCCTTTGTGTTCCTGGCCTTGAAAATGCTTTATAGTTATGACACAGTGAAGACAACCGTGCATGGTACGCCTAAAAGGTTAGTAACTTTCGTTATGTCGATGAAACTCGTAGTTTGCCTTTTTTACGAGTTTACCTAAAGCTGCAAGGCCAATTTCCATCTGGTCAAATATAAAAAAGATTAAAAATCCGAGTATATTTGTGAGACAATGTAAAAGGCAGAAGAGTATTCCCCCGAAAAAATGGGAGCTCCTGAAGGAATTTCTCCGAGAAATGGTTTTACCAATCTTTACGCTTTTTCAAACCATTTTAAAGCATTTCACACACTCAGGTCATAAGGTTAGTGTTAAAGAAATATGTAAATCTTTTGTTTCATTTAACTCTCCTGAATTATTTTGAACCAAGCACTATGTACTTGCGAAGTGACTGGTTGTTTTAAAACTCAGCAAAGCGTATTTTAAGAAGAGATGACAAACACTGCCAGGGGGTTTAATCCATTTTACATTTTGGCAGGATGAACGTCCAACAATTTCAGACATTCATGGATGATAGAAACACAGCAACCAAGGAGTTTGACTCAGTAGTGACAACCCCAAAAGATGGTCTGGGTAATCTCACAACAAAAACAGCAATACCGATACCAGATGTTGCGATTACTTCAACCGTTGCGAACTCAACCCAAGAAGTATTGACGGGTGATGCTGTGCCAATCAAACAAAGCCCAGCTTCACAATCAGAAAAAGACCACCCATCAAAACCCAAAACGAAAGACCAATTACAACACGAAAAGGATGACTCTGTTACACCATCGTCAAGATATCCAATTTTACAAGAAACTCAGACGAAGAAAGCAGCTCCATTAACAGACGAGATTAAATCCACAACAGTATTTATGCCGGTAGCTTTTGGCCCAAGTGAACAGAATTTTGTGAGAAAAGTGGAACTTTTCCTGAAAGAGAATCAATTAAATCAAGCTGAAAGAGACGCTATAATGGATATCATTTACCGTGCAAAGTCAAGGACGCCGGATTGGAAAGCAAAAGAAAAAGAAAGTTTACAAGATGGTCAATTTTTATATTACCTGGTAAGTATCAATCACTGTCCAAATGCAAACAGAAATCACAGAGAATGGCGAAATAGCGATTTCAATTTCATTTTTTACTTTTTTGCTTTAGCGGTCTGTCAGATGGCAAAGAAATATTTCAATAAAAAACAACAGTTCAACCATTTCAGTCTGTCGTAATTAAAATTTCTTTCTTTTTTATTTCAAGAAATGCCCTAACTCGGTTCGAAAAAAGATGCTTACGAATCCATTTACTCAACACAAATTCGTCCCAGAAACCCCTGTTTTGGCTTGGAATGAACATTACACTCCTGGGGAATACGCCCGACTTGCTAATTTCTTTGGAATTTTTGGCTGGAAAGATTCCAAAGAATCAGGTATGTATTTTTGACGTAATACCCAATAGTCGTCGAAGTGACCTTCCACGCAAAGGGTTTAAAATCGCATGCCAAGATACGTTTTTCCAAAAGCCAATCATACGATTAAAAGAACCAAAAATCAATAATTCTCCCACCCTTCTTCTCAACAGGGTTTCTAATTGTGTACATCAAATTAGCACAAGATTATATTCTACAGCCTTCAGATAATGAGATTTAGCATAATCATTTATTTGTCGTGTTTTCTACACTATTAGACATTGCCTCTTCACTGACGAAACTGGATTCTCCCAACAACAGGTATCTGTTCGATAACTACTTAGTCAATGATAACATTCCCAACGACGCTAGGTGCATTACGTGTGCGGTGATCGGTAATGGAGGTATCCTTAAAGGCTCTAAAAAAGGCAAAGAGATTGATGCTAACGACTTCGTCTTCAGGTTGGTAAAAAGTTTGATATTTGAGCTAAATAACAAAATTCATTTCACTGTCTAACTCATTTATGTGAAATCTTCGTTATCTGAATACACCATAGTGCTTGCATAACAATGATATAAAATTATTGAGAAGCGGGTGTGAACCTGCAACCTCCGGAATAAGAACCGGCATTTTACCGAGTTCTCCGGTCCTGTGTTGGTATTAAACGATGCCATGGCTCTGCAAATCCCCTAGCCAGAGATCACAGGTATAGTCAAGATACAGGCAGTGCTTCAAACCTGACATTTGGAAAACCCACATTTCTTTACACATACCCATCAACCAGTAACAGTTTCCGCCTTGAAAAAAGCCGTGCACGTTAGTCGGGATTGACAAATATAGAAAAAAGATAATCGATGACTCGCGGTGTCGTGTTGCTGGTAGCGACGTTCCGGCTGCTGGTGCTGCTAGCCTTCATCAGGGAACTGAAGAACTGGATGCTGCAGAGTCCGCTATATACCGCTGGACCGCGTCCTCCGCGTGTCCCCTGCCGTGTATTGCGGACGCAGTACGGGTGACCTCAGCGGGCGTCGCACGCTCCACTCCATGGGCGTGAGGGGGCGTGTCCTCGGTGTGGCTCCGTTGGGCTCCGGTGTTTGTGTTGGCGAATGGTGGGGAGCCAGAACCCGGGGATGTCGATGCCGCTGTCTCTGTTGATGTTGTGTCCATTCAGGCGGATGTGGATGGCCTCCTTGACGCGTCTTGTGTACCAATGCTGGTCTTGGTCCACGCACTGCACGCTGTCCCAATTGGGGTGGTGACCAGCTCCCCAGGTGTGCTCGGCTACCGCTGACGACTCCACACGGGAGAGTCTCACGTCGCGCTGGTGCTCCTTGATTCTCTCGCTGATTGGTCTGCCAGTTTCGCCGATGTACACCTTGCCACAGTCACCGCATGGTATCCTGTAGACCACTCCTCCGCGTCTTCCGGGTGGGACGGGATCCTTAGGACGCACGAGTTGGTTCCTCAAGGTGGTGGATGATCGGAACACGGTGCGGACGTTGGGATTGTTGAGCTCATTTTTTTTTCAGGAGCAAAGCGACCCTACGTGGCGCCTTACATTGTCGTTTGTGAAACAGTGAAGTGCAGTTCCAACGAAAGTAGCCTCCGTTGCTATGAAAATTACACCCTCTTTTGGTCTCTCTCGGGATGGGTAAAAAGGTAACAGGCTGTATTGTGCCTCTGACTATAGCATTTTTCTATACCAATGGCGATTACTGGGAGGAACCATCACCATAAAAGTAGAGCAGAAATGTGATGTTTCAATGGTAAAATTTCCTATCCTTTTTCAGTCATCGTTCTTTACCTTTACAATTATATTACTTCAGACAAAACAATACCGTGAAAAGACTTTTTATACAAAAAGTGAACTCAAATAAAACACTGCTATTGCTCCAATCTGTTATTAAAGTGGGCTCAAGAAATTTGTTTTCAAAAAAACTTAAAAACATGTGAAATAGGCTTATGAAAACATTCATTAATTCGTACTGGCTAATTATCTTGTGTCGCAGCAAACGTGAAAAGTAACATTTGGAACTTAGTATAGTGGCAGTTAGAGTCCACTAGGGGTCGTCTGTAAATTGTGTATGCTCGAAATTCCGACTTTTCAGACCCCCCCTCCCCCTGTACGTATGGCGTACGCAGTGGCTCCCCTCCTCCCCGTACTGTAATCCAGAAGACGCTGCCGGTCTTTGTGTCACGACTAATGTTGCGGTTTATTAATAATGGGCGTTGGCACAGGAGGATAAATGGTGGAATATGTGGTGGGCAATACAGTGTTTAAATTTCGACGCACAAAAGCTGATTCTGGTAGTCATTATTTCGTATGAGAAAGTGTATTGATATGATGAAGATTCATTACAGGCAACTTTTCGGTTTGCGTACGGTACGCAATGTCTTTTTGACGTGAGGTGGTTCTGAGTAGGAACTCGACGTTTTGACCAGGATGTTCTGGTCGTCCTCAGTCATGGCACAGTAATGAACGTCTAATGCGGCGTTCACATTACGCGCTGTGTGTGCGCAAAAGCAGTGATTATGAACCTAATAAGGGCTGGTTTATCATCTTATGTACAGTAATCATGTCTGAAAATGATACATATTATTTGTAATTGCACTGTCCCATACAGGAGTACCTATTCCGATATGCAGCCTTGTCTTGATAATCCATGCTGTATCCATACTGTTACATTTAATAAACAATGCTGTAAAAATTTGTTTTGTCCACTGCAGATAGCCTAAATAATTATATACAAGATTTAAGCCGCTTAAAAGTTTCCACATATCCGTGGGTATTGCCAAGAATATAGAATAAAACAATTAGCTTAACCGGGACTTTATCTTCCCGTTGTATGTATTAATTTAAAAAGAAGAGGTTACGTTAAGAAAAGTAAGCTGTCAAAATCCCAAAAAGCTTTCTCCCTTTTCATTCTCTAGAGTGAACACTGCTTTAACTGAAGGTTACGAAGAAGATGTGGGAAACAGAACCTCTTTCTATTGCTTTGGGATGATAACATTGTCAAACACATTAGCAATGGGATGGAAGACGAAGTTTACCCAACCCCCCGATGATGAGGTAAGAAAAACCCTTGGTGCGATTTCATATAAATGAACATATGAACTGATAACTTAGTAACTTAGTATCCAGATAATTTATCAACGATAACGTTTCACAGCTTGGCTTGTATTGCCGATTAATAATGTATCACCAGTTGACAGTTTTCTAATCACATAACAAAAACTTTAGATCATAAAGTGCTGGCTATCGACGGTTAATATATTAAAAAATCGATCGATTACATAGATCGGGAAAACGTACGAATGTTCTATTTATATTATTTAGTCGATTGAGTGGCCTATTTTTTAAATCAATGAAGTAGCCGCTCAAAATGGAAAATCATGGAATTAACGAATATCTTTGGGGCTGATATAGTGTGTACCTTGTCACGTGGACGCAATCAGAAAATATCCGGCTGTTAGTTTAGCGGTATTTTGTGACTGAGCAACTGCAGTGGCTCCTACATTTCGGCCTGTCGTATCTCCTTCGTCTTTTTCCACCCTCAGCCTCCGTAAGCTTTAAAATTATTTGACCCTCAAAGAGCCGGTTTGTTTTGACCCATATCACAAACCACCTAAAAGTTCGGCTGTACGCTCAATTTTTGAAAGCCTATTAGCATGCTTCAACAGGTTCTCCTTATTACATCTCAACAAACATATGGTTTTACTGTTACGGTCATCTGAAGTCATGACGACAGGCGTGGAAAAGTATACATTTTTAACTGAGTCGTCTCGGACAATGCGCGCTGCGCGAGAATGGTGAGTCTGATTTTTGCAAAAATGGAGTCACAATGACTGTAAAGAGTTACTTTGAAGTCTCCAAAGGGTTCAGGTTCTGAAAAAAAATGCACTGCGGCGATATTGGAAAAAATGTTGAGGGGCAAATTCGTCCCCCGCTCTTTTAGGGTTAAACGTTTCGGCCAGCTTCAACCCCGGGGCCCACTTGGCCATGGATGACTCAAGTTTAATATGTGGTGGATCAAGGTCAAAGATCACCTTGAGGTCACAAGTGGTCATTTCATGAAAACACAATTTAGCCGATTTTAAGCGTAGGCCCCTTCTTGGTCATGTTTCCTTGTCCAAAGCGCTATCTGTAGAGTCTTAGCAAATTTGGGTCAAAGGTCACATGTTGGTCAGTAAGGGTCATGTTCTGGAAAATAAAAAGGCGTCCTCACTTTTGTAATTAATCACAGCCAATTTGGTTGATTGTTGTCCTTTTGCGTTCTGTTTACATAGGCCTATTAGGGGCAATAGTCAGTATGTTCTCTCAGTTTTCACTTGGTCAAGTCTGGGAAAAATGGACAAAATGGTTTTATTTCTTCACTTTTACAAACATTTTTGGCCAAACTTTGCATCGTCTTCTTGTAAGTTTATTTTGATTTTAAGCCAATAGTCATCGAGTGGTTTGCAAAACAAGATAAATACTCTGCTTCCTAGCATTTTATAGCCGCGAATAGTCATTGACATGTGGTCGGTTACAGCCCTTCCAAGAGGACCTGATATTGTCGGGTGGAACATTGTGAGTCGTTAAATTATCTGTCCATACGCTGTTTTATTTCCTTTGTATTATAATGCTTATACCAGAACTTCGGCAGCTTGCCAAAATGGGCAGGTCTGCCCAAATCAAGAGCACAGAACATGCTTGCTCGAATCCTTGCCAAGCTTGGCAGCTTTGGGCCCAAATCCTTGCCATGCTTGCCATCCGTTGCACTAGCCCCACTGGAACAAGAGGATGCTAGCCAAAATGTCTGTGCTCGATTGTATGTCATATGCCTAAATTTTTAATATAACCAATCAGCCCCACCAGAACAAGAGGTTGCGAGGCGTACCCGTCCTAATAATTATTAAACACAACAGATTAAAAGTTAAAAGACAAGTTCAAAGTTGAACATAACACAAAGTTTCCCATTAGTCATATTTCCACATTAAAGTTGTTTACCATTTTAACCTGAATTGAGGCACTGCCTATCGCTCCCAGCCAGTTCCTGCCACACGCGCAACTCGCGCTCCACCGGGACGACAGACCGTGCACTCCCCTCTACCCCGACTTTGTATACCATCCGATTCGAACGTGACTCCATTATCACGCCGACGCGCCATGAATTGCAGGCTCTCAAAGGACGGGTACGGGTCGAACCATAAAATTTTCCTCTACCTTCGGTTTCCGTGATTCCGTGTAACGGATAAGTTATGTAATAATAACCTACGAGGGGGTCAACTCATTTGCACATTGCCTTGCTAAGCTAGGTAGGCTACAGTTTAGCATACCTCCAGAACGGTGATTGTACATCAAAATTTTGGTTCCTTGTCGAAAAACATCAGGCCACACTGACCGCCATAGTGCCTTGTTTGGCATACCCAGACCGAAGTCCTTCCCACGTTTATTACTCACCAACCTTATCCTGAGCTAAGTGATCGAAGTTGAACGCTACCACCCCAACAAAGTGAATATGGGCACGTACCAGACCTGCGGTAGCTTGTGAAAGAAACGGGGTATGGTCACTCCCTACTTGCGACACTGGGCACGCACGAGCTTTGAGATTCTTGGCATGCTGGCCAACCTTCGCCTTCATATTAACTTAACATCCAAAATTAATCAGAGTTGAATCAAGCCCCGACATAGCGAGTGGGCACAAACGGGCAGCACCGTGGCAGCTTGCATATGAAATTATTAAATGGAACATACTTCCATAATTGCCTCCACTTGGCACACACAACAGGCCCCAATTGTTGGCGCGCTAGAAAAATGTTTATCTTATACGGGACAAAATCGGCACTAAAATTGAATCTTTTGCCAGTAGTAGGACATAACTCTCTCAACCAGAAACGAGTGAAACTTTTATACCCATGCAAACAATTGTACCGTAACATAGAGTATTCTCAAGGGCCGACAACCTACACGTAGAAACGTTAAAAAGTTATTGGTTGGAAATAAATTTTGGTGTCCCAGCGCAAAAAAAATCACTGCGTACGGAAACAATACGTCGACGGGCATGGCAAGTAATTTGAATCTCCATAAACCTGGAGTATGAAACTAAGCTATGAAAACCGAACGGGAAAATTGGAACCTTAATCTTTCTCACCGTACTAAATTCTTTTGAATAAGTGGGTTTGAAGTTATGACGATACAATCGAGGAAAACAAGTAAGCATTAAATGGCTGAGAAAGTCACAGTCCGCGTTGAGTGGGTTTTGTAAACATTGAACTTTCAAGCTCTCTTCAAGAAACGGGAGCACGAAATAGAAAGTTCAGCAAAATTAACAGGGGTTTACTTGTAGTTAAACTTTCGTTAGTATTGTTTGCACGGCAATTATCTAATCCAAAAGAACGCGGGTTTTCCTATTAGTTATGTCTCTATCCTAAAACTGAAGTGTGATTTTACTGGTGTAACGAGGGTTTTTATGTCACTTCCCATGTAAGCGCTAAGTACTCTGAGCTGCACGCAAACATTAAAAGTTCTAATGAGTACGACACAATGCTCTATATGACATTCACCATACAAAGAGCTCACAATATTGTAATAGACGCTATATTTTCCCCAAACCTATTTACATGAAATTCCAACAATACCAATTATACCGGACAGCGCACAAGAATGAAGATAGTCAAAGGTAAGAACTGTGAAATCAATTTGAAAATAAAACCAAACTCTTTCCCTGAAGAGGCCTTGGGAAGTAGTCAAGCAGATTTAGAGCCCTCAGCGCCACCTGATTAATGGGCCCAGAGAGACAGAGAATACAACGGCTGCAAAGCACACCATAGACTGTCACTCCTTGTTGAGCAGCCGACGATTAAACATACGTTTTCTGCAACCATAAGTAGTAGTACACATGACAGTTTTAGACAAGCAAAACCCTCCTATACCTACCCGACTAAAAAAGTGAAATCCCCAAAATAAAAAGGGAAAAATCCCCAAAATAAATCAACTCAACCACCTCCCATGGGTACCTATATACCCAACCTCCCTCAACCCACTCGAAAAACTTACACCAACCGCGTCACGCATCAACTCACACGTCGCGCATCAATTCCCTCGCTATACCCGCGTAAAGAACTTGTGGTTGCTCGGATGAATATATGTATTAATAATATCACTTTAAATAAATAATATTAAAATAATAAGATCCACTAACAAGAATGTTAGTGACACAAGAAACCAAATGTTGCCAACGATGTCATCAATGTAAACCAATTACTGAATTTTATTAAACCGATAAAAAAACAAAGAGTTTTGTAGAATATTGTACCGCTTGTAAAGAAAAAGTCAACAAGTGACGAAAGTTTGAACATAGATAAGACAATTATAAATATCCAGTGTCGCCCCGTTTGTCCTCACGGGAAGACAAAACTAATGTCACGTTTGTCACAAAGCTCTGTTTTGTAATCATGGAAAATATAAGTCCAACTGTTATCGATGTATACACGAATTCAAGCGAAATATTTTTAACCCTGGGACGCGTTCCCAATTTAAACTCAAACGGTTCCGTGGGCGGACTATTCCGTTGAGTCCGTTTCATTTTTCAGGTTTGCAGAGCCCTGCGTCCATCCTGACGGTATATTAATGCTTCAGTGGTTGTCCCCTAGCCTCTACAGATCTTACAAACCACCAAAGCCCACCAAAAGTACATCACAGTACCGTGGGGGCCGTTTTCCCAGGCTATACGGATTTGAAGGGGGCCCCTCGCCACGCGCCAACCAAGCCATACCACCACTACAACACCCCCCAACAAAAATAACACTTCAAAGACAGCCGACAGAGGCCTCTGACAAGTTCCAGACAGCTGTCACTGACAAAGAACATTCCACTGCCTGCCCCAGGCACCGTTTTGTAAACAACCCATTAGATTGTGCACAAGGGACCACTTAGCACACAGTCCTATGGGAATTGCCTGGAGGCTGGCTCAAGGCCGTCTGGATTTTTTGAATTTTTTTCTGGCTAGGGAGGCCCTGGCTGTAAAATGACTAAACTAGGTTTTTCAGCATGTTTAGGGATGGGATATGATAAGTAGTCGTGGAATT